ATGCCGTCACCAGCGAACATACAGCTTCCTAAGGCTGCATTATGCTTCTGCGTGGTGGCCACGCCGTGACCTACGCGAGCGACCTATGCCGTCACCAGCGAACATACAGCTTCCTAAGGCTGCATTATGCTTCTGCGTGGTGGCCACGCCGTGACCTACGCGAGCGACCTATGCCGTCGCCAACATCTCAGCTGTTTTGCTGGTGCCTGTCGCTCAGCAATTACACCGACGAAATGCTACGTGACATATAGCTTTGCACGTTGCATTTATTGTCCTCCCACCCTGCAATTTATTCAATTGTTGAATCACGCAATTGAAATGGGGAAAAAAAAAACATTTAACAATTCAGCCATTTATCGAGTCTTTGTCCTGCTCCAAACTTCCTATAGACAAATTTGGAAAAATGTACGAATAAACTTAATAGAGGTAAGTAAAATTGACGCTGTCATCCTGAGTGTTTTATAGACCTGTTGCTACGATGCCTAGGGTGGGTTTTTTAACGTTAAATATAAATAGCGCATCAGTTTCAATCAGCAATATAAGTATATCTGGGATGTACTTTGCTCCCAGAAAAAAAGTCAAATGCTACCAAGCGGACCGATCACAGTTCTAGTAGTCTGTGTCTCTGCAACATGCCGTTGCATTTCTGGGATGTGCATGTCTGGCTACGGCAAGGGTATCGTCACAGGGTCCATGGCTGCGCCACACTTACGTTGACGATTCAACATTTAGGTGTAAATCAGCCTTAAGAGCACAGTGGGCCAGAGCTGATTGAGGCTCAGAGGGTTGCCCAATCACCTCGGCTCTTTTTGTCTGTCCTAGGGAATTGTGGGTAACCTGGCCAGCGGGAAGTCAGCGCTGGTGCATCGATATCTTACTGGAACATACGTGCAGGAAGAGTCTCCTGAAGGTAAGCCTACAGTGGTCGGTTCAAACCCTTGTTGGCCCACATCTCCACATGGGTGGGGGGGGGGGGGGTCCAAAATCCAAAAGCAGAATACAGTGGTACCTCAGTTCTCGAACTCATTAGAACTCGAATTTCTTAAAAGTCGAACCAACCAGTTCGAAAAAAAATTACCTAGAGCTCGATCTGAATCTCAGAAGTCCAAACCGTGAACGCCGACCTAAGATAACTTGTACACGCGGGGAAATGAGTCACGTGGCATGTCTCTCAGCGGAAACAAAGGGTAACGCTTCAGTCTCAGCCTTGCATTATCTGTGATAGTTGGTGTACACATGCACGGTGCTGAATACATATATTTAGACAGTAAAAATACATTTAGACAATGATAAACAGTAACAGTAATTATTATATAATACATTTAAAAAGAAAGGTTTCTTATTCATTATTTTAATATTAATAATAAACCATTAATACATTTAATTATAATAATATTGTTGTGGGACGGAAAGGAGACGAAGGCGCAGACGTCAGGGTATCGGGGAATACGGGGTTTAATTACAGGTAAAGCAGGCAAAACGCAGACGGACAATACAATGACCGGACTGGGGAAACAAACTGAAAGGCGGACGAAATACAGAGGGCTAATGACAACAACCAGAAACAGCTGATCACACGGGGATTCCACACGGGGTTAACGAGGGGGCGTGGCACACGGAAGGAGCGGACGATCGGAGCAGGACACATTGTTTTTTTTAACGTTGCACATTGTTTGGATACATTTATTTTCTTACTTTACAAATTACTGTTTTGATAAATGTGCTTAGATGTGTTTAGTGCAGTATAAGCTCTTGTTTTGTCCCGTTCATTTTGTGTTTAAATGCTAAAAAAAAAAAAAACATATTTAGGTGTAATTTTTTGGGGCCGGGAACCAATTAATTGGTTTTCCATTATTTCTTATGGGGGAAAATTCTATCACAACTCGAACTTTTTAGGATTCGATCCAGAGTTCTGAACGGATTAAATTCGAGTTCTGAGGTACCACTGTATAGTGCTGTTCATAATGTTTTGGACAAAGATACATTTTTGCTTGATTTGCCCCTGTGCTCCAGAGATTTAAATGGCTTCTTTGACTGTCATCACGTATGTCCTCATGTTGAACAATATCAACTACAGATTCCAAAGATGCCCGAAAGCTTAGAAGTGAGCCTAGGACTTCCTCTCATTTACCCCACTTAAGAGCAAGTGCACTGGGATACTACACACTGCATTTACCCCACTTAAGGGCAAGCACACTGGGATACTACACACTGCATTTACCCCACTTAAGGGCAAGCACACTGGGATACTACACACTGCCTTTACCCCACTTAGGGGCAAGTGCGCTGGGACACTACACACTGCATTTACCCCACTTAAGGGCAAGCACACTGGGATACTACACACTGCCTTTACCCCACTTAAGGGTGTGTGTGAAGAGCCCAAGTGTGTGGGGATTTCTTGAAACCAATGGGACACATTTCATGTCTGAAGAGGTAAACGAGAGACACTACAGCTATGTTGTTGATTGTGTTGGTTGTGTTTGGCGTTGCCCTACACTGTAACTCAGGCTATATAAATATTCATTATACAGCTTTGTGCACTTAAATTGAAACTTCTTCGGAAGCATGTTGGACTCTAATTAGACGACAGACTTCCACATGTTCGATGTAAACAGTCACCACTGATGCGGTGCATTGTGGTCTGTTTACTTAGCCAATAGACACTACAATATGGTATTTGCCAAAGTGTGGATAAAGTAAGCATGCTGCACTTGGTTTATTTGAGGAACGGGACACCCTTGGATACTTGTACTAAGTACATGAACGGGCACGCCCAGTCTGTAAATGTGGACTAAGTAGGAATATCAGTATCTAATTCCTGCACCAATGAAGCAATTACACACACCTGATTAATCACAAACACCGGTGAAGGCAAATGTCCCAAACATTATGGTGCCCTGAAATGGTGGAAGTGCTGAAATTTCTATATGGTGAAACTGAAATGCCCTTAAATTAAACTCTAGACCCCCTATCAGGTGTGAAGCCTCTGACCAATCAGAATCAGTAATTATTAAACATCTACCTGGGAGAACTGAAAACACGACCTGGATTTGGAATCGAGGTCCAGATTTGAAGAACCCTGGTCTAGACTGTGCAATTTAATCATGTGTGAAATGTTTGATTAGAAATTTAAAACTGTGGCGCATAGGGGGAAATGAACGAAAAATGTGCCTTTGTCCCAAACATTGTGAAGGGCACCGTACTCTAAAATCAACAGATTAAACTGATGGATAAGGCAAGAAAGGAACAGGACTGAGCTATAGTGGGATTTAATGTTTCCCCGAGTGAGATGTTACTGTTAGCTTCTCCAAATGCCCCCGCATGGCCCCCCGACCTGCCTAGGCTTCCCCGGCAGGACCCAGCAAATAAAAACGGCACCACCTCACTGGACTCGGGCCTCAGCAGCTCCGCAGCAAGCCTGGGACAGAGTATTTTTAAGTGTCTCTGCTGGACCCATTTTTCCATATGAAACGGCGAAGCCGCAGCGAGGCGCAGGGCCCGTGGCCGGGGCACCACGGTAACGGCTCCCGTAATAGCATCCCTGCGGATTCCCGTGGTGGGCGTTCTCCGGGACGTGCCGGTGTTTGGGTTTCAGATGCCGGCCGGGCCCTCGGTAGCCGCAGTGGGGGCCCTCGGTAGCCGCAGTGGGGGCCCCCGCTCTGCTCTGCTCCCTGGCTTTCCCGCTCGCCGCTTGGTCCTGCTCTATGTTCTTTGGATTTCCGTAAGATTCCAGCGACGTTCTTCCTGCTGAGCCGGTCGTACGTCTGGGACGTTCAGCCGCTTTCTTTGATTTGGTCTCTTTATTTCTCTCTCCCGGCTTCCCCTCTAACAGCTGACGTGGATGCAGGTAACCGCTCGCTCGCTCCCCCCCCCCCCCCAGCCCCCTTCACCGCTCGTTCCCTCCACAGCAGCTTGATCTAGGAGCTTCCTCATTTCGGCCATTTCTGATGCCCATGTAAGTTCCTCTAGGTGAGAGTGACTCTTGCATACAAAAGCGCTGATGATGTTCTGGCTGCAGGCCGGACCTCCTCAGCGTTTGGTGCCCAGACGTGCATCTCCTGCTGTCTGAGGCACACTGAAGCCCATCAAGCTGCTCTGGAGTGGAGGTTCCATGCCGGCCCACCACCTCCTCCTCCTCGCATCTCCTCCCTCCTAGAAAGCCCTTTTACGTGTTCCATATGTGTCCTGTCATGGCCATGACCCGTCCAGTGGCACAGAACTGCTCCAACACGGTGTACTCTCTGAGGAAGACCTTAGCATCGAGCATTGGTGGTTTTTCACTGGGGGTGTGACAGCCTAGCTGTTGTTGGGGGGGGGGGGGGCATCATGCTGCTATGATAAACCCAGCAGAACAAGCTCTGAAATATCCTGGTGCCGGGAGGGGGGGGAGGGGTGGCTCTTCTGATCCTGACCAAAATCTCTGTGTGACAGGAGTCTGAGACGGCATTTCCCGGGACTCGCCCTGTGTGATTAATGACAGGAACCCATGTTTACATGAGAGAACCTGCTTTACCAACAATATGAATGTCACATAAGTCATTATTATAGTTTTTTTTTTTTTATAGTATTATTCTTACTGTGTAAATTACCAGCAGTCTATTTAATATTCATGTCTGTGGATATTTGTATAAACAATACAATAGAATAGAATGTCTTTATAGTCATTGTACATGTACGGGAACACTGTAAATCGCTATTTCATTATTAATCGCTGAATAATGACTTACGAGCATTTCAAGTTACGAATGGCTATTGTCATATGTCATTCGTAAGAAGAGGAGCATCTGTATTCTAATGTTAAATTGGTTTTTTTTTTTTGTGAAAATATATAGTTCTTGCCCAGAAAAAAATGGCTTTAAACATTTTCTTTGACTGCCTAAAACTTTCTTGCAGTACTGTGTATTGGTATACTGTACCCAGTTAAGGAAAACTGAAATGGATTCGAGCTGCCTGCCTAACCATGGCAGGTCCCCGTGGGTATGTCAGAAATGCACCCTGGATGACGCCATCGCATTCCTGTCGTTCCTGCTTGGTGTAAACCTTCGCACGCCGTACCTTAGCCGCACGGTTATAAATAGGAGCTGTTCTCTTTGTTAAACACCCCAGCCCAGCTGTCAAAGCTTATAGCTCCCATACTTTAAATTATTATTATTTTTTGAACCGTCACATTCTCATTGACGATTTTCAATGAGATTCCGAAGACGTTAGCTGTTGAGCTTGACCAGCCCTGGTATCTCTGCACTTGCTCTTTGTGTATGTCGGCTCTCAGCCTGCCAGAGTTTAACTAGAGAGGATGGAGCCTCTCGGTTATAATTACCATAATTGATGCTGTGTGTCTCAGTGTAAGCCTTTGCCAGCGCTTATTCCTACTCGCTCTATGCACGACGGCACCCATCAGGACAACGGCGTGATGTATCCAGGGGGAGGAGTTTTTGATGCTGAGCCAATGCTTCTGAAATACTTCCCTTAATAATCTTCTGTTGCTCCTGAGAGTTCAGCTATCAGTGGAATATATGGTCAGGGAGCCCATGGCAGCTTCCACCGGCGGGTCATCATCTAGATATTGTCACCTCCCATGTGTCTGTAGTCGTAGAATCACATTCTAGACCCTGACTCTGTTGGAGAGGCAGTAGGTACCTCTCTCACCGGGCTCATTCTCGGCATTCCAGGTCCTCCTCACTGTTTGTTCTCCACAAACATCATTGTGTGTCTGTCCCCTCGTGAGGAATGGCTGTCATTTGTGCGAAAGAATGCAGTCCCCAGTAAACAAGGGTCACCAGAGAAAAGCCAGATGAAGCTTAGTGAACGAGGGCAGAGGCAGGCTTACAAACCGGAAGTCATGTGCATGCATGTGCTGGAGTACGTGTCCGTATAGCATATAACATCTCATGGTGAAATTGGTGTGAGGTATTCTGGTCACGCAGAGTGCAGAAACACGTCCTTTATAGCACCATTAATCAACTCAAGTGTCTTGAAACTATGTAATTAGACCTTATCCATAAGACAGCCACCTAAATGGAAAAAAAGTAGTGGATTAAGTGAAGTTTATGTACCATGCAGTAATCATTGCTCTGTAAATAGTTTGTAAACAGTTTTAAAAAGCAAACTTGCACCGAGATGTCCATATAGCTAGCGGTTTCTTTATTGGGAGGTCACGTTCCAGTTTGTTGATGGGTCGCTCACCAGTTTCCCCCGTGCCCCTTACAGGAGGACGCTTTAAGAAGGAAATAATAGTGGATGGACAGAGCTATCTCCTCCTCATCCGAGATGAAGGGGGCCCTCCAGAGGCCCAGGTGAGTACTGCGGGCTCCTTGATCATTCGCTGCGGCCGCCCGGTCCATCTGCAGCAGCCTCTGTTTGACACACTGTCTGCCTGCCCGCCGCCTGACTTTGCCTGTCTCCCGCCGCCTGACTTTGCCTGTCTCCCTCCGCAGTTTGCCCTCTGGGTGGATGCCGTCATTTTTGTGTTCAGCCTGGAGGATGAGATCAGCTTCCAGACCGTGTACCATTATTATAGCCGTATGGCGAACTACCGCAACACCGCGGACATCCCGCTGGTGCTGGTCGGGACGCAAGGTGAGCGGCGCCATAAATGGAAATTCAGCCGCGCGGAAATAGTCTGACTTTGTTTCAGGATTTTTAACCCCACGGCTTGTTTTTTCTTTTAAATGCTGATATTTTTTTTTAATTTAGCACTTTCCAGCACCGTCAAATAGGGAGCAGGTTTATTTCTGTGCATTTTACAAATATCTGTTTGCTTGACCATTTCAGGAATTGTAACTTCTGATTTATTGGCGTCATATTTAGAATAAAAGTGAGTTGAATGGGAGCCTCTGTGTTCATAATGAGGGCAATACAATAGCAGTACGGAGAGGTATGGAGGCAATAGTAAAAAGGCACAATGACACATTTTGCTCTTGGCTGCAGTTATGGGGATTAAGTGCAACAGTGCCCTCTGTGGGCCATATGTTATATTTCCACAAATATTCCAGTCTTCAGAGTACAGTCATCTGATGCTTAGGGAACATACATGGTTCTGAAAAGGTGGATGTTTGGCGATTTGGCCGTTAAGTACAGTACTGATATAGATTGTCTATACATCAGCGTACACAGTACTGTACGTGTCAGCAATGTTGTATTGTATTACAATAACCACAAAAACTAATTCCGTATAATAAAATATAGTATGCACACAATAATACTGTAATAATAATATTACTGTCACACAATTCTGATTAACTTGCGTTCATTAATATGCACATTTTTCCTGTGTGTTTTATTACTTTTCATTGTTTCATGGCCTATCACTTTCCTTTGTTTCTCGAAAACACTTGTACAATTTGTTTCATTGCGTTTGCAGCCCATGAGGCACTTAAATAATCATCTAAATAAGGGAACAGGCTTGAGAATCATGCTGTGACTGCGTGTCTTTACATTCTGCCGCCCATGTGGTAATTAGGTCGCTACACAGTGGTTTTATATCTGCTTGTGTCCGATTCTGGATTTTATTTGATTGTATCTATGCTGTCTCTGCTGTTAAGGTGGTGGGTCGGTAAACAACACGTCTGCGTTGGGTTCATATGAGGGTCTACATCGTAGCCTGTGGTTGGCTTGATTTGTTTGTTTTATTTTGATAACCATTAATATTGCCTTTGAAAACATGGCCAGTCAAACAATTGTCACAAAAAATCAGGCCATTTTGAGCGTTACATTTTGGTTAAATTAACGCTGCCGTGAGGACAGCCGAGGATCCCGGCAAATTCCTTGGGTGGTGTGTTCAGTCTCACATCCAGCCCGACTAACACTGCAGCCGCTGTAATTATTTTTAACGCGCAGCCTCCTGTTTGTCAGATATGGTACAAGCTGGTCTAGAGACCAGCACTTCTTGCACTGTTTCTGTAGAGTCCCTGCTGAGAAAATACAGCCACATAATCTGCCAGTGCCTTTGAACAGATGCCCACAATGCTTTAAGAATCTTTTACTGAGCTCCATCACAACCAGCAGAAGTTGGTATCGTACTTCATACAGGGGACTCGGTGGTCCACTGGGAGCCACTGGTCCCTCACACCTCTACTGTTGGGGGTTCAAATCTTGCCCCCACTCTGTTTGTGTGGCACATGCATGCTTCCCCCCAGGTGCTCCCCTCTCCTCTTGCAGTCCAAAGACATGCAGTTTAATGATTTGGCATCTGCCTTATGTGAAGGTGTGTGCCCTGTGATGGACTGGCATCCTGTCCAAGTTGTTCCTCTGTCCTGGTCATTGTGCTGCCTGGGGTTGGCTCTGGGATCCATGTTACACACTACTGGATAGATTTCTGAAAGAAGGGTGGATGGATGAATAGTTTTTCATAAAACAAAACCTAATCTATTTACTATGTTGATTTTTATTTATTTTTTTTAAACAAAAAAGTACAATATTGAAGCCATTGTACTCTCTCAAATCCCGATAGTACTCATTCCATTTCTACTGCAATATAATTTACTCATTTTCTCATTGGTCCTGTCTTATTTTAAAATTCTACCTCCCTCTAGTGGTCATAATGAATGCAGCAAATTTCAGGAATTCTTTCACTCTTGATACTTAAATACCCTGATATATTTTTGGAAGCAGTTCAACGGCTGTGGTTCACACTGTGGCAGACAATATAGTGGATGCTGGAGGAAATACGGTGGGGATCATCCGCGGATTTCTTAAACAAAATTCATATTTCGAAGGATTTTACCACCGAACTGTAAGACCGGTACTACAGGCGTTTAAACCGCTTTAAACCTCAGTGCCTGCTCGTTTTTGCACTATAATTGCTTGTTTTCTTGCTCGGTTTTTGGGACTCCAACGCGTGGGTGCGCAAACATCTGCCTGCCGCTCCAGCCCTTTCATTCCTGCGCGATTTCTGCCGCTTGAGGCAGGGGGGAGGGTGTCCTGCCCTTTACTGGCATTTTCTGAGTTTATTACAATCGGTCCTTTGCTTCGCGAATGTGGAGCACGCTGGTCAGCCCACATAGGTCCAGATCCCTAAACTCTATCTCTACATTATAGCCTGCTGGTTTTAAGAAAGTTATTTCATGCTTCATATGAATCAACAGCGTTCATCGAAGCAATTTAACGTAACAGCTGCCTTGCGGATAAAAGTCCGTGGAAAGCGGCGACGGTGTCGTCACTGTGTGTCGCGTGCGAGCTGCGCGCGACACGCGCCGGCGCGTGCTGGCGAGGTTAGACACTCGGGTTATTTAAACAGGTTTGAAAATTCCGTAATTAACTCAAAACTAAGTTAATCGTCCCTTGTTCTGTGATTTACTTATCGAATGAGAGTTTAGTTAAAAGTATTTATCCAAGAAGAAACTGGACGTAAAATCGTGTTAATACACGAACACGAATTCTTTACTTCAGAAATGTATTTCATGATAGAAGCGTAATTGAGGAATAGAAACATAACTTTCTATTTATTTAAAAATACCGGGGATTTACATTGAACAGCTTCATACAGCACTCATCGGTAACCTAATTTTTTATTCTGAAATTATTATATTATACTCATTAGTAGTTATTTACATGGTAGTTACGTCTTCCTGTCTGACTTCACGTAAAAGAGTGAAATCATTTGTTTTTCTAAACCAAAGCTAGCAGCAGACTGGGGATTAGCCTACATAGTTCCGTTTGCCAACTCAGCCAGACTGTCATGGGGATCCTCCCCGCAAAAATGTAAATTTTAATTACTTGGCAGAGTTCTACGTAAAAGTAAATCTGTGATGGAAATTTTAAAAAGGCCTCGTTTTATGACGACGGCTTGATGATACCATAGGCTTTTATTGGCCAGGCAAATGATTGGCAAATTTGTTTGATGAATTTTACCATCCAATCCAGTACACGAGGACGCCGTGATGGTTTTTGGAGGACTGCAAGAAACCCGTTCCGACGGTGTCCCATTAGAGCCCTTTGGTGTTTTTCACGTTGCAGTTACAATGTGTGGTCTATAGATGACGCTAAATGCTCAACTGAGAATTTTGAGACGAATTCAGGGAGCTAAGATGCAGCTCAAATCCGGCACTATATTCTAAATCCATAAATTAATGTACAACTCCGTTAAAGTAAATTAATTTTTTGAATTTGTGTTTAGTTTTACAATCAAGCTGCCCTAAATCTTTGAGATTTTACAGAAGGAATTATTATAATTTGTCATATATATATATAATATGACATGTGCTGCCTGTTTAAGGGGGACATGAAATTACATGCAATGACATTTTCCCAAGAATGTCAGAGAAATTCATGAAATTCAAAACTAAGCTTTAACTGATGACATATACATGTCTAAAATGAATTATTCGGTAGATCATGTTTCTTGCCAAGTACTCCTGTTGCTTTATGGTTAAAATGGATGCCCAAATGGCTGTGGTTCTGGCTCTGGCTCTGATTCTCCTTTCTTCTCCAGACGCCATCAGCGCCGCCAACCCACGGGTGATCGACGACTCGCGGGCGCGCAAGCTCTCCAACGACCTGAAGCGCTGCACCTACTATGAGACGTGTGCCACCTACGGGCTGAACGTTGAGCGTGTTTTCCAGGATGGTGAGTGGAGCCAATTTGCTGTGTGGGTGCACCACAAAGGGATGGCAGAGTACACGACCTTTGGGCTTGTCAGCATTGAGGGGAAGCTAATTATAGTTTTAGTTTTTTGGGTGAGTGATCAAGATAAATATACACCCCTTTTAAAAAAGTGTATGAACAGTTATGAAGTTCAAATGTTATAAATCAAACATGAAGTCTAGGAACCCAGCTACACTAGAAGGAAGGACTTTTAGTGATGATTTCCAAAGAAATACTGTTAAATTTCATACGTTCTTTTGTGCTTTAATATCGGAGCTTAAAAATAGACATTTGGAACATTTAGAAATTGGGTGTAGTCATATAGATAACCACTAGGGGGAGAGCGTTCCCTGTTTTATCGGTATTTAAGGTCCTTAATTGCCCTGTCGGTGTCATGAGTTAGCATAGATGTAGAAGGTCTTTGACTCATCTCTGCTGCTTTGGCTCCCCCTGAAAATAGCCTCTGCAGTTAGGCTTGGCAAATACACTCATCTGATCACAACTGGCATTTCACGTTTGATTTTTAATGACCGTCAGGATGTGTATGTACTTTCTTAATGGATGGATGTGAGCTGAAATAACACCGGACAATATGAAGAGTCGAGCACAGTGTGAGAAAGTGAAAGGGACCTCGTCCCCCCCCCCCCCCCCCTGCCTGCTGGGATCGTCATACCCCACCCTCCCGCCTGCTGGGATCGTCATACCCCCACAGCCCTGTTGTCATGGTTAATGTGTCGTTTTGTTCAGTGAATACTGTAAACAGTGTAAATACTGAGGTGGGACCACTAGATTCTTTTTAACATTGTCATTAATATTTTAATATTGTTCTTGTTGTTGCCTTTTTAAAAAATATATCTTGTATGTTTTGTAAGGAATTGACTGTTATTGCAGTAAAACTGTTAAAAATTCATCAGTACACATTTGGTTTGGATGCTTGTCATTTTCATCAATCTAGATAACTACTAATGTTACTGACACGGCATGTGTTCTGTGAATCCCAGTGTATTTGTAATGCATTTCCTTGGTTTTAACCTGAGTTTGACTCTCATGTTAGTCAGAGTTTTTCTGAACTTCCTGGTGTCCTGAGTTAGATCTCAGGTCAATCTTTTTTGGAAACATTGCAGTTGTGTTGTCAGACAAAGGCCACCAGCTTCCTATAGAGTAGGGACTGAGGCATGTTTAAAAATCTATTCCTGATTCCTTTTTTAGGTGTGTGTCCATTTTCATTTTGTGTAGCCTTCTATGTTGACTGTACGCTGAAGACCTAAGCTAGAAAGATGCCAAACAATGAAGGGTGGTTTAAAAGTTATCAAACACTGATGGTCAGTGTTGACTGCTTTTGTTAGAAATCATCAGTGTTAACACTGCTGTTAATGAGACATTACTGTTTGATAATACTGAAATTATGTTGTTTACCTGGATCATTTTAATCTTTACTCCTGGACATGCAAGTGTCATCTGGCAGTTGTATCGCACATAATGGTAAATAAAAAGAGCCCTGATACGATGGGTCCTTTCAGGAATGTGGCATTCAGGGAGATGCGTTAGCAGAGGGTTGCTTCTAATGGGGAACCATGTGAAATGGATGTGTGAAACTGAGTTTAATTTAAGGAGAAACCTGAAGTTCTTGCCATTAAACTGGGGTGATGCTCTTTGTAATGTGCAGCAGTGGGATTACAGTGCTGGAATTCAGGTATCTGCAGGATACAAGAATGAATGAGGGTATAGTATGAAGCATGAAACCACGCAGCATGTGGTATATATGGGCTGGACCTCAGGGATCGTGCTGCTGTAATGTTTTCATAAGTCTGCATGTGCACATGTGTGTGTATGTGTGAGTGTGCATGCACGCACATGCATGTTTGTGTGTGCGTGAGTGCGTGTGAGTCCCAGCAGCTGCAGTTAGGACCTGGACTCGTTGCACCGAGCTAACTGTGGCTAAGGAGAGAGATTTACACACTAAATGCTTGGTTATTATCCAATTAATTATTGCGCTGTTTGGTGGAAGCAGTAGCTGCCGTGATTTAGTACTTTGTGTGTCTGTGTGTGTGTTTTTGTGTGTGGGTGTGTGTGCTTGCACTTGTGTGCGACAGCCAAGTTCGTCAACCGCAGCAAGCGAGAGCAAGAAAAGGCTAAATTTCTTATTATTACTGACACTGTCTCCTTGCATTTTTCATTCCATTATCCCCAATTAATCACGCGTTTTAATTATCCAGTAAAGTGGAATTCACTGATGAGCTTGGAAATGATTATTTTAATGTTTCGTGCCACCGCCGTGCCTTGACAGGGTTGTTCTGCCGGGAGCTGAGTGCATGTGTGTGCGCACGTGCACATGCGTCTAGCACTCTGTCTGTATGTATGCGCATGTGTGTGCGTATGTAGTTCTATCTGTGGTTATGTCTGTGTGTGGGGTTCAGTCAGTCCATCTGTGGTTCTGATTCTGCATGCCTGTGTTTGTATTTTCTAAAATATCTTTGTTCTGGCGTCATAGCGGAACATTTGCAGTTATTATTCACATGACCTTAATTTTTTGGTAATGGTCTGAACATTTAAAATAATGATATCGAGGCTCGCGCCTGCCAGTGCCCTTTTACCCCAGGCCCTCTTTTAGTCTAACAGAGCGAGTGGAGGAGTGGGAGGGTTTAGCCCTGGCTGTGGTGGTTAGCGAGGATAGTCGTTTGTTCAGCAGAAGAGCAGCTGCTTTTATCTTGCATGCTTTTTTTTATTTTTCTTTTTGCCTGCATTTTATATGAGTTACTTTAGAAAAACGCCATGGGGAACAATGAAACAAGACAAAAGTCCAACAACTTTACTGTAAACATTGTTTTTTTTAATTGTATTTATTACAATGTGCAGACCCTTCATTTTGAGAGCCTGGAGTTGGGAAATCACTCGCTGAAGTTTTAAAAGAATTTAAATGTTCCCTGGCAGGAAGGTTATGTGCTGTGCTGGGTGGTTATGATGAACATAGCCTTAGGAGTGTGTCCGTCAGCCCATATTGAGATGAAGTGCAGGGTCAGGGGCCTTTGCTGATTGTACTAGTGAATTCTCGGGGACCCACCTTGCCAATAGACATACACATGAGTGCAAGTATTAAAACTGAGGGGCACAACAGGTAGGCATGTCCCAATAACTACTTTTGTTGGATGATGTATTGTACTAGAAGCAATTGCGATTAATGATATAATTGTCATTTTAGGATCATTTTATGCCACTGATATAATACCATAATGATACAAATACACCCTTTCAATGAGCAGTGATCTTTTATTAATTAAGAATATTCAGACATTGGAACTGGAATGTCAAAAAATGTACATTTCATAAATAAAACCATACAATGAAAAAAAATAGATAAAAAGGACTCTCGGGCACTGTTAATAAAAATTGCACTAAACACTAAACATTTAGCATAGGGCTGTAGAGAGTCAGTACTTCCTTAACTGAAAATATACTGGCACCTCAGTTTTGTGGAGGCTCTGCTCATGATCATTGGCCAGGGGAAAAGTTGCAGAAAGTCAGAAAGCAGTCGGAATAAAGATTGTACATGGACACCATTTCTACCCTCTTTGATCAGAATAACAGAAATGGCTAGTGGATTTGAAAAATGGTTGACTGAGAAAGTCCAGAAATACTGGCATGTGTATGACTACTCGCTAAAGGATTATAAAGACTGGATTATAAAGACTGCCAGATAGGTTCAAACTAAAATAAAATACTTTTGTATTGTGATGCCATATACCCATCTTTTTTCGTGTCAGTGTAATTGATTTGATTTTTTACATTTAGTTTTAACATTTTTTATTTTCATTTGAAATCTAGATTGGATTTAGGTGTGTTTTAATTAGTTTTTGTTTTAAAGGTGTAAATCTAGTTGTATATTTTACTTAGTTATATTTTACTTTAGGGTTTAGTAATTTTTTTTCTATGGATAAATGGACAGTTGTAGGACTTTTCAGTTGACTACTACAAAATGTCACGTAGTGCTGCTGGCTATTTCAATGGTTCAGGAGCATTAGTCGAGAGGCCCAAAGATAAACCAATCATTACTTTAGTTAAATAGTATTTAAAAATGGCAGTGGGAAGTATGTAATGTTTTTTCTTTTATTTGATTTGATTTAGGTAGCAATATGTTGTCGCTTAGTTGTAGTTATTATTTTAGTTTATGGAAATGTGATGATTATAACCATGCCTTGCATACTATAAGTACGTAGTGCAGTTAGTTTTCGTAAAATTCTTGTGTACTCTCATAACAATCATGCTACATATCTTAATTGGGACTTCTAAGAGCAGCTTTGCATTACAGTGCTACCTCATGCCTGATTGTATAATACATGGTTGCCTGCTGCCTTGGCTCTAGAAGTATGAACATTGAGGATCATGGGTGGTCCGACGTGTCTGCAAGAAGTAAAAAAAAAAAAAAAACAGCATTGAAATGCACCTGTGATGCAGAGATCAATCAAGAGCGCAGCAAGTAGCACGGTTGCCTAAAATGTTGCTGCCATTCATTCTTATGTAAAGTTTGCCAATGTGGAGGTCAGAAAAAATGATCACGATTATGTCCATGTATTGTGCGATAAGTCAATTAACGTAATTATCGCGACAGATTTAACAGGTTTTTCTAATATTACAAGAAACAATATAAAACACTTTATTGGTCCCCTTGAGGGGGTTTACTTCCAACATCAAGAATATGCAAATAGGAAGATTAAAAAAAATATATATTCATTTTTAAATGTAGCTAAACCATATGGCATCAATAATGTTGTGTTGACAGAGACTCTTGTTATAGGTTACAGGCTAAGTAGCCAGCTTCTCAGCAGTCCAATGATTCGTTTCTTTGGTAAACAACATGATAAAATCAAGCTTGTTAAAGTCATGCTGTGTTTAGAAAGCTTGGTTAGAGCTTCAGGGGGATTTTCATCCTTATCACATAATGTTTTATGATTTTGTAAGTTTACAAGTAATTAAAATCCCACCGA